CAGACAGCCTCTTCCCAATATGCGTTTTTGCAATTTGCATATATGCAAAAACGCATAAAAACGATCCTTGAAGAGACGTTAAGCAGTGGTTGCTGAAGGGGAAAAAGCGGGTTTTATTGCGTTTGTCGTGGAGCTGTATCTCTGCGTAATAACGAGTTCTGTTTGTTAGCCCGTTTTGCGCCAATTAATAAATTAAAAGAGCATTTCATCTCGGTACTCTGTCTCGTATTAGCATGCATGCTTCTCGAAGTAGCCTTAGCTTCACTACTGGCTAATACGATCAATTATTCATGCTGTTATCAGTGCTGCACCATGAAATTACCTGCATGCTACGGACGCATACTTACTGGACACGGACTGCTGGAAATGGATGCGGATTGCGCATGACAACAATTAATTTCGACTCCAGTGGATATATTTAGCTGTGTTAAGAGGAAAAATAAATGTGAGAAAATGCTTGTGCTGCTGTTCTCATCGCCGCCATCTGAAATGATTGCCCCGGTAAGCTTTCGATCGAAATCGTGCATCAGCTGCGCAGAATATTGTTGAAGTAATTTCGACAGCTAACTCAATTTTGAATAAACCTTGTTGCACAGTTTCTGTCTTCTTCCGCCAAAATACGTTTGAACGAAGTGCTAGTATTTTGAATATCACTGTTGTTCGGACAGGATATCAATATCACCAGTAAAAATTTTGGCATCGATTTTATCACTGATTCTGCCAATTTCCAGTATTCAGCAATTTTTTTGGAAGAATGTACTGAAGATCAGTTCGATACGGATGTGTATTTCGGATTGGTTCTAATCTGGAACATGAGTCATTTAATGCCTAATCATGTGGCTAATGAAAAAACGTGGTCGATACGTCCATTTCGGAAAAAATGAGAATTAAAATCAAATAATTGCCGCATTACAAGTGACCGTACATACCGAATTCGAAAGAGGTTACAAAAGGTCGTAAAGATAACAAAAGCTAACAAGCTGGAATCGTTACGGTCATAGCTCATAACACTGACCGCCCGGATGACGCTTTCACTGCATTCATCCGATACATGCCTAACACGTGCACCAGTATATTGATATTATGTAAATAATGCATAAATGCAGCAGTGAAGCCGAAGACCCGAATAAACATTTGTAGCTAACACCACAACAACAACGGCATTGGGCTTCAAGTCGAAAGTCCGAGAGAGACGACCAACAGGGTGAAGCTCTCCTGCGTCTAGCACTCTCCAGCGTGCGAAAAAAGTTGAATATGCAAAATCTGGGAACTAATGTAGCAGCTAGATAACTGTTTTACCAAAATTCTTTTCTCCAGGCTGTTTCCTGGGAGAAATCGATTTAAATAAAAAAGCTGCTAGCTGCCACCTTAGTTGCTTATGATCTCTTCGATTTACCTGAATTTCTGCCAGTAAAATTTTGCAACAAATGGTAGAAAAGCGTAATCATTTTCAATTTTTCGACACATCGATGCCATTCTTAAAGCCAAATTTTGAGGCAGCAGACAAATACGCTTAACAAAAATGTTGGAACTTTGGAACGCGAAGCCGTCTAAAAAGTTTCGCTGAACTACCGAATGCGATGTTAAAAAATTAAATGGAAAAAGCTGAAAACCATATTTAATGAAGTGAAAGTCTGATTTTGCGATTGTCTCATTGCTGTTGGAGAGGAAAAGGGAAGGATTAGTGTAAAAGATCGAGGTATGAGGAAAGACTGAAGAACATCGGCGCGGCAATGCATCAGATTGATAACAAAAACGTTAGGTGTGATAGATTGGTGATTGGATGGTGGAGTTGAAAAACAAAAAGGGGACAGAGTAGCGAAACTTAATGACACTGAAAAAAAAAAAGAAAACGAATGGAAAATTACATCGAAGGAACTGCGTTTGTTGGGTGGAAATCGGTTTCTAGTTAATTTTATAAATAGCACTGGAGTGAAAAAGAAAGCTAGAGCGGAATCGGGAAGGATAAGGGAGAACATAGAGAAGAACAGGCCAAGGGGACAAGAAAAAAGGAGGGGGAAGGGCAGTGAAAAATCATCAGACGAATACCTTTTTTCTCCAAACTATTCTTTCTCATCAACTGAATGAAATGGGCTCAGAATGAGCACGTGTGTGGTGCGAGAAGGAGAATGGCAGTGCAATAATAATAGTTTTTATTATTTATTTGCTACAAATCCGAAATCACAATATTTGTGTGTGTGTGGGGACTTCAAGTATGATCAGTTGCCGCGACCTTCGCTAGTTTTTTCCGCGATCGGAGCATCAGTAGAGTCAGCCGCCCAACTGTCTTCGTTGCATTCGCTGCAACCACTGCATTCACTCAGTTCCGAAACCCAGTCCCTAACGCGCTGTTCAGTGCACTCGGAACACATTGTCGGAGGCTTGAAAGCCTGCGCTGACCCTGTCGATTCCGGGTCGCTATCTTCTGTTGTCCGTGTACAATCAGTACAAAAGCTGTGGCTACACGTGTAAGATTTTCCAGCGCTGCAGGTGGAGCAACATTCGCACAAATTTGGAGCTGTGTAAAATGGGGATTTTGGGAGCTGGGCGGCGTGTTTTCCACAGTAATAAGATATTGATTCTGCAAAAGACCCATTTACCAGTGGCTTCAGGACACCACAGGGAGGCGGCAAACCGTCAACATGTTGGTATGACATAGAATTCGTCCGATTGGAGCACCCTCCAGTAGCGCCAGTGTCCGAACCAGTGCCATGTTCAGAATTATTCGTGCCACGGTGCATTCCTGTAACAGTTCGCTTCAAATTTTCTGAAAAAAATATAATTTTTTCTGACTGCACTGAAAGTTGCGAAAATGCACTGAAGAAACTACTAAGGGATAA